AATCTATAGCTCAAATTGGCGACAACGGACAGTTTAACAATATGAAGACTGATTCATGAACATGGTATACCTCTCCATTTACTGAAGTGTTCCTTACTTTCAGCAATGTGTGGTATCTTTCGAGGCATACAGGCTGCATTTTTTTTGTTAAAATTTCCTATTTTATGGTTCTGAATGTTATTATAAATGCTATACTTAACGTTTTCATTTTGACATTTTCTCCTAGCATATAGAAATACAACTGACTTGCTGGGTACGGTGGCTCACACCTGTCATCCCAGCACTTTGGGAGGCCAAGGTGGGCGGATCACGAGGTCCTGGCCAACATGGTAAAATCCCGTCTGTACTAAAAAAATACAAAAAATTAGCTGGGTGTGGTGGCGGGCACCTGTAGTCCCAGCTACTCGGGAGGCTGAGGCAGGAGAATCACTTGAACCTGGGAGGTGGAGGTTTCAGTGAGCTGAGAATGCACCACTGCACTCCAGCCTGGGCGACAAGGCGAGACTCTGCCTCAATAAAAAAAAAAAAAAAAAAAAAAGAAATATAACTGACTTTTGTGTGGTGGCCCTGAGGCCTGCAGCTGACGTCCAGCTCAGGCGGGCACAGAAGCTGTGGCTTCTCATTCCCTTCTGCTTGTCACCCTCACCTGGAGGGCCATGGGGCTCCCCCTGAGATGGCTCTGAGGAACCCAGTGGTCAGGGCATCTGAAACCCCCCAGGCCACAGAACCACAGGTGCTGGTTTCTGAGTGAATCTGCCAAGCTGACGGTGTGGCGCTGGTTCTGACCCAGGCGCACAAGCCGGGGAAGGGTGTGCCTGCCTTCCTAGCTGGCTCTGTCCACAGGGCAGTTCCTCATCAACAGGTGGATACTCTGCTGCTATCGCTCTTTCTTATCAACTCACCCTCTGCTTTCCACCAAAGGAACATTAATCACACCGATGTAAGAGTCTATCAAGTAATTACACCTTTTAGTGCACTGATAATTTCTTCTCCAGCTGGCACTAACAGTCAATCAAAATGCCATAAAAGGTGCTTCCGATGAGCCGATGAATCCACCAGGCATTGTGGGAGCTGTTCAACTCTTGGCACCAGGAGCTTTCATACAAGCGCCTGGCGGCTCCTCTGTGGGGCTGGCTCCTCTCCCTGGAGCTCTGCTTCTCTCCCAGGGCTTCGGCCTGACACTGCCGTGCACAGAGCCCTTTGAAATGCCGCATACGCTTCTGTGTATATTCAAGTCAGCAGAGGGTGGAACCTAAAACTAAGTCCCGGACGGATCAGGACCCACAGCCTGTGAGAGTATCTGTACTCTGGCTGGAGACAACGAAGCATTTCAATGTCCCGTGAAAAGGAGCCATGGAAACATTTCTAGTCTTTCTAATTAAATGGAAAAATAAACCCGGAGTCAGCATCCCACTTTCCTGTGGGATCTGGACGCTGGCTGCAGCTATGCCCTCCTCCAACAAGCCATGGCCAACTGTCCGCAGCCACTCACCCACCCCTCCGCCAGGACCCGGCCCGACACCACTTCCAGAAGGCTCCGCAGCCACTCACCCACCCCTCAGCCAGGACCCGGCCCGACACCACTTCCAGAAGGCTCTGCAGCCACTCAGCCACCCCTCCGCCAGGACCCGGCCCGATACCACTTCCAGAAGGCTCCGCAGCCACTCACCCACCCCTCAGCCAGGACCCGGCCCGACACCACTTCCAGAAGGCTCCGCAGCCACTCAGCCACCCCCTCAGTCAGGACCCGGCCCGACACCACTTCCAGAAGGCTCCGCAGCCACTCACCCACCCCTCAGCCAGGACCCGGCCCGACACCACTTCCAGAAGGCTCCGCAGCCACTCAGCCACCCCCTCAGTCAGGACCCGGCCCGACACCACTTCCAGAAGGCTCCGCAGCCACTCACCCACCCCTCAGCCAGGACCCGGCCCGACACCACTTCCAGAAGGCTCTGCAGCCACTCACCCACCCCTCCGCCAGGACCCGGCCCGCACCACTTCCAGAAGGCTCTGCAGTCACTCACCCACCCCTCCGCCAGGACCCGGCCTGCACCACTTCCAGAAGGCTCTGCAGCCACTCACCCACCCCTCAGCCAGGACCCGGCCCGACACCATTTCCAGAAGGCTCTGCAGCCACTCACCCACCCCTCAGCCAGGACCCTGCCCGACCTAGAGTAAACACCCAAGACTCCCCACAGCCCCAGAAAACCAACCTGTCAGGGATGCCCCGGTACCCACCATCCACAGGTGTGCAGTGACGTCATGGACGGGTGCCCACCACCCCTGTGAGGCTGGAGCAGAACACCTGGGTTGAAGCTGGCATGCCGCAGAGGGCAGGGAGGAAAGCGGGAGCCTCCCTGCCCGGGACAACCCTCCGGACACCTTGTCCTGGGGGGTGAGAGGGGCCCTGGTGCTGAGGTCCCTCTCTGCGGGTCTCCTGCTCATGCAGCTGAGCCTGCAGTGACCCCTCCCAACCCCGGCAAGTGCTCATCATGAGATGCCATGTAACCCTCCCAGAAAAGGAATAAAGGGAATCAGGTGCTCGCGTACCACCAGGGAGCCCCATTTTCCTCAAGAAACGGCCGGTCCACTCCATGCACAGCTGACGTTTCTGCAGCACTGGTGAAGGGCTGGTGCTGGTGAGACACAAGGTATGTGGGTGAGGGGGGCAGAAAAGGAGGGCGTTGGGGAAGATGGGAGCCGCAGGGGGATGGAGCTCTGAGCTGAACGAGACAAAAAGAAGAGCTATGCCCAGAGATGGCATCATGGTGCAGGGAACACATGGTGAGGAATGGGCCCAGACAGCCCCTCACAGCGCACCAAACCACACTACCTGCTACACCAAGCTATGCTACACAGAACCACGCTACACACTACACTGAACCACACTAAAGACTACACTGAACCACACTACACACTACACTGAACCACACTACACGCTACACTGTCACGCTACACCAAACCACGCTACACACTACACTGAACCACACTACATGCTACACTGAACCACACTACACGCTACACCAAGTCACGCTACACCGAACCATGCTACACACTACACCGAACCACACTACACACTACACTGAACCACACTACATGCTACACTGAACCACACTACACGCTACACCGAGTCACTCTACACCGAACCATGCTACACACTACACTGAACCACACTACACACTACACTAAACCACACTACATGCTACACCGAACCACACTACACGCTACACTGAACCACACTACACACTACACTGAACCATGCTACACACTACAGTGAACCACACTACACACTACACTGAACCATTACCCACTACACCAAGCTACACTACACAGAACCATGCTACACGCTATAGCAAGCCACGCTACACATGACACTGAACCACACTACATGCCACACTGAACCACACTACACTGAACCACACTACCCGCTACCCCGAACCACACTACACACTACACTGAACCACACTACACAGTACACCAAGCTACGCTACACAGAACCATGCTACACGCTATAGCAAGCCACGCTACACACTACAGTGAACTACACTACACGCTACACCAAACCACACTACACCGAACCACACTACACACTACACTGAACCATACTACACGCTACACTGAACCATACTTCATGCTACAGTGAACCATGTTACATGATACCCCAAGCCACATGAGGTCGTGGCTTCCTGAGTCCGTGGCTGGTGCTGTGTCGAGACTGGGTGTCCGAAGTGTCTGAAGCTGCCCCGGGGGACAGGGTGAAAGGGGCTGCCCAGCATTCGGGCCCCCTACCCGAATGACCTGCAGCTGAACCCAGGCACAGCAGCCACGCCTCAAAGCCAGGGAGAGAAGAGGAACATTCCGGACTGAAGGAGTGGCCGAGATGGCGGCACGCTCTGGCCGTGGCCCTGGCGTGAGCACGTACTGTCGGGTGGGGCAGGGACAAGTTCCTTGGGGCTTTGCCCAACTCTTCTGTACATCTTCAGTGGATCCTCCACGAAACACTTAAGCGAACAGATGCTCAGAGAGCGTATCTGTATGACGTGGTTTCCAACACAAAAACATGAAGATTTTATCATTCCAGCACAAAATTAAAATCTTACTAACAAAGCATGTGAAGTGGAAGAGACAGTGAGAGCTGCGTAGCTCTGGTCAGTGCAGCAGACGTCAAAAGGGCCACGTCACTCCTGATTTTAAAGTGCAAATCATGTCTTTGTGAACTCAGAGGTCACATTACTGAAGCTGAACTCAGGGCTGGCATGTGTCCTCACCTAGCGCAGGGCAGACGCAGATGGGCAGCCCCTGGCTGGGCAGGAAGCACACACAGCCCGCCACCCCCACGCCGGGGCCCGGCAGGGAACTCGCAGGGAACGCACCACCCCCACGCCGGGGCCCCGCAGGGAACGCGCCACCCCCACGCCGGGGCCCCGCAGGGAACGCGCCACCCCCACGCCGGGGCTCGGCAGCGAACCCGGACAGTCTGGCTGTCCTAAGAGACGCCAAAGCCCAGCAGGCCAGGCACCCGGGAAGGACGCAGTTGAGAGACCACACGCAAGGAGGCCGCGTTTTCCCTGAGCATCAGGACGGCGGGTCTCATGCCTCCTTCCCCCTCGAATATGTCTGCCGAGGCGCCCACCATGGCCTGAGACTCTGTCATTTAAAAACGAGCTCTGAAATATTTCGGACACTCCAGCAAGCACAGGAGGGCTGGGGGGAAGCAGGGCGCCCAGTGCTCCTCTCTGAGTCTCCTGAAATGGACTCAGAGGTGTGGTTCTTTCCCAGAAACGGTGACCATGAACACGCCTGGGAAAAGCCAGCGGAGCCCCCAGTGTTCAAACACAGGCCCCTGAAGGGGCAGAAGAGCGGGCTGTTGGCCAGGCCATGCCGACGGGAGGACAGAGGGCGGCGGGGGAGGAGGGAGACAGGCTCACCTCTCCTAGAAGCCGCACAGGTTAAAGAGCCACCGTTACTCCCCAAACACCACACAGAAGAGCTCCACTTACTGCTCCGAGCATGATCCTGAAGATCAGCCACCGGAAGCCCCACAGGACAATCCGGGATGTGGGGGTGTGCTGGGGCAGCCTCGACAGCGTCCACAGCGGGCACAGGAAGATCCCCAGGAACCCTGTTTCCAGAAGCTGGGACTCCCATCCTAAAACGACAATGAGACATACCAAGGGTGAGTTAATGGAAGCCACACATTTCACAAAGAAATCATTTCAGAAACTCAGTTTAATGGAAACGGTCCTTAAAACAGGGCTGACCTTACTACGGAGAGGCACCAACCCCCACGTATTAGTCTCAGCACCGACATGCAAGCTCAGGTCTGCAGGAGTGGGAGCTCTGGTGTGGGACCCGGGGCCCAGGTCAGGGCTTCCCGTGACCTCGGCACCCTTTGCCCTGGAGGGAAAGGCCCCGCTCTGAGGGCCGCCACCTGCCACCCTGCAGGACGCTGCACAGACCTGACATCTGAGAATGCGCCCAGCACACGTGCTGCCAGCGGATGTCTGGGGGAAGCCTTTGCCCTCCCGTAGGTTTGCATGAAAACAGCTTTCACCTTCTCCCCAGCCCGGAAGCAGCACTGGGGCAGCAGCACTGGGGCAGCAGCACTGGGGCAGCAGCCCGGCCTCTGTGTGAGGCAGTGTCTCCCTCTAGCCCTGTCCTTCCCAGGCGGGCATGGAAGCCAGGCAAAGATGCAGAGGCAGGTCATGGTCGGTCCACATGGAACCAACACTGGTCAGTCCCTCACGGGCCCAGGATAAGGCAGCAGCTCTGCTGCTGGATGTGGGGGACATGTGGGAGCCGAACAGATCCTTCCCACTGGAAACCCGGCATAAGAATGCAGATGTAGGCCGGGCGCGGTGGCTCAAGCCTGTAATCCCAGCACTTTGGGAGGCCGAGACGGGTGGATCACGAGGTCAGGAGATCGAGACCATCCTGGCTAACACGGTGAAACCCCGTCTCTACTAAGAAATACAAAAAAAAAAAAAAACTAGCCGGGCGAGGTGGCGGGCGCCTGTAGTCCCAGCTACCTGGGAGGCTGAGGCCGGAGAATGGCGTGAACCCGGGAGGCGGAGCTTGCAGTGAGCTGAGATCCGGCCACTGCACACCAGCCTGGGCTACAGAGTGAGACTCCGTCTCAAAAAAAAAAAAAAAAAAAAAAAAAGAATGCAGATGTGGGTCGCCATCCCAGTGCTGTTCTCAGAGGTGAAGCCACCATGAATATGGCTGCTGGAAACTGCCCACAGCTCACGTCTGTCCATGGCAGCTCACATCCCAGGGGCCCGGAGACCCCACAGGCCAGGCTCCCTCCTGGGCTCTGAGGATGCCGGATGGGACAGAGGCCACCCACTGCCCAGCATGACAACGATCACACGACTCACACTGCCACAGCATCTACGCGCCAGAGTGGAGGGGAGAGTGCGGAGGGATGCGGACGGAGGCTTGTGGGGGCAGCGTCTACGCACCACAGAGGATGGGAGAGTGCGGAGGAGAAGCGGACGGAGGCTCATGGGGAGCTTCCTCCAACCATTGGTGCAACTCGTCTGTATCTGAGATATTATGGTAAAGTCAAAAGCCTGTGAAGAAGCTGCTACAGCAGCACTGGATTGTAACCCAAAGTACAAAATAGACGCCTGCAAGTCCACACTGATGTGTGCCAATTACTGAATAAACAGATGGGTGTGCATGGAGGCAGCGCGGCCCTGGTCTCTGAACGGACAGACGGTCAGTCCTTATGCTGCCCCGGCTTGTGGAGGGCACAGGCTGCCAAGCTGACGCCTGCTGGTCTTGCAGCGGGACCCCCTCCACCTCGCCTACGCCCCAGGCTCGCTGGGCTCCATCTTCCCCACGGAAGCCAGAGCTGCCCAGCTGGCTGGGCCCTGCGAACGCCCCGGGAAGGAAAGGGTTGCCCTGGGCCCACCTGCTTCTGTTTTCTTTGCTTGGGTCTTGTGGAATTCCAGCAGCTGCGCGGCATGCACAAGGGCTGCCATTGTTCTCCGCCTCAGCGTGGCGGACGACGCGTCCCCAGGAAAGTCAATAAGCAGCACGCTGCCAGGGCGGCCTCAGCGCCAGCGCCAGGGCCAGGGCTCTCCAGGCAGCTCTCACCCAGCAAACACCAGCGCTGCATGAAGCGAGCCTGAGGCACCCGAACGAGGTGGCAACATGCAGGGCCACAGCAGACGCTGCTGGTGAGGGCAGTCCTCGCCCCCTCGGCGCCTTTCCCATTGCGCAGCTGCACGCACTGCCCGCCGGGCATCAGCATCTGCACGCCCTGCTCTTCCCCAGGGACCTCCCTTCCCTTTAACAGGGGGATGGCTCCAGGAGGGCCCCTGCTCCACTCCACTACCCCGGCGGCGTCTCCACCACGTGCTGTGTTGGGCCTTCCGGGAGACTGAGCACAGCCCCAGGAGGAGCCTGGCACGCCCTGCCTGGGGAACTGGGCAGCAGCTCTCGTGGGGAACGTTCACTGCCACGGCCACTGCTCTCCTTCCTGTGACACAGACAGCACTGGTCCAATCACCAGAGAAGCTGCCTGTGCAGGGCCCAGGGAGACGCTCCTGAGCCCTGCCCGCTGGACAGGGTGCGACGCCCCACTCCTGCCCTGGCACCTCGCCTGGTGCACCATATTAATTGCTCATTGCCTGCTAGATGCCCCGATGCTGGTGCAGAGGAGATGCAAGTGCCCCAGCACCCAGGCACAGGTGGGCACCGGTGCCTCTCAGCTGCCCTCCGCTCAGGATTCACACAGATCCACAGCCAGGCTGGGGCCCAAGGCAGGAGCCTGTGGCCTGCAGGCCCAGCCAGCGCTGCAGGTAACCGTACTGTGCCATTCATAGGCATCTCAGGGCATCAGAACAGGCAGAAACGAGGATGCAGCCTCATAACTGCCTTGCTGGAGACGGTTTAGGGTTGAAGGCTCTGCACGTCAGGTCTGGAGCCACAGGAGGTGTGGGGCACCCCAAAATACTGGGAAAAGAAAATCTGCAGACAATGGCGACTGCCACACGGTGCCTCTCAGAGCGGCTCCCCAGAGCTCTAGACTTGGAATCAGTTCTCACCATCGCTGACGGGGCACGAGGCCTGGCGGCTGCAGCTGCACGTACTGTCTTCCGAGGCCCCACGAGATGCTGAGCCCCGGGAACACGGACATCCCCACCACTGCGCCCTGGGCTGCCCCGACCCCTCCTGGGAGGGGAGCAAACGTCTCCACATTTAAGGGGGACTGCAGGTTGCTTCAGTACCAACCCTTCCGGCACCCTGTGAAGACAGCCCTGACCCAAATGGGTAGAGGCCGGGCAGGCCAAGACCCAGGGAGGCTCCCCACACCCGACCTTCCTGCCCTGCAGGACACAGACCGGACGCTTGCTCGTACAGTCCACAAGAGAACGCACACCGCTATAGGCCCTGAGGCCCACGATCGCTCCAGTTCTCCAAGTGCAAAACCAGACACACTCTCTCCCACCCTTCCCGTGACCATTGGTGACACAATTTCACTGCCCTGGAATCAGATGGAACTGTGGTTTCTCTGAACTAAATCTCCAAGTGCGAATCATTAATGTTAAGTAGTGACTGACGCAGAGGGCCACACAGCTCTCAGCCCTAAATCGGTGGCTCTGAGGACCCTGGCCTCGCTGCTGCCTGCTTGGCTGGCCCAGGAAGGGTGTCCCCTGAGGCCTGAGGGCTTGTACGGTTTTCACCGTCCCATGCTCGCCTCCTAGATTGCAGGGTCCTGTGCTACTTGTTTTAAGAACACCGCTTTTAAAACAGCCAAAGAAAAACTCACCCTAGACCTGGCTCTGCAGAGCCAAGGGGCGACCGAGGGGCGACTCCCGGGGACATTCAGGCTGGGGGGGCCCTGTGTGCACAGGTGTGAGGAGGCATGGGTATGGACGGGTCTGAACCACCAGAGAAGCCAGGTGCAGGATGGGGGCAGAGGGCAGGCAGAGACCACAGGGTGCAGCAGAGAGCCCTCCTCATCCTCACAACGGCCGGGATCCCTCAGTCTGCAGCTAAGCTCCTAGGCACCTGCTCCCCAAATAAAACCCAGGCAGAGGTGCATGCTGACATTCCTTTTCCATTTATGGGAATCAGAGGTTGAGGAGGGACCCTCTGCCACTGAAGAACCAGAAGATTTGCCACCAAGAGGCGCGATCTGTGCCTGGCAGCCCAGGGCACGTGGGAACACGTGGAGAGATGCCTGGAGGATGCTCTGGGCAGGGCTAGGCTGGGCGGCCAGCAGCACACTCATGCACCACCAGCCTTGGGGACCTCAATCAGAGGATGGAGAGTCCCAGGCCAGCCTAGGGACACGGTGCATTGCTGGCCAGGCAGAGCGCTGGGGTGGAGCCTGAGCTGGGGTTTTCCAGATGGAAGTTCTGTAGGCCAGCAGTCATGTGGGACGAGACAGATGCAGGGTGGGATGACTGCGGTGCCTCAGGCAGGTGAGACGAGCACCATCACTGGGGGCCAGAGCAGGTGAGATGTGGGGATGGGGCACGTGGGATGTGGGGGGCCGGGGCACGTGGGATGTGGGGGGGCCAGGGCAGGTGACAACCAGGTGCTGCTCGGCCACCGGTGAGGGGCAGAGGCTCGGAGGGTGCAGAAGGTGTGCAGGGCGAGGGCAGCCAGCCTCAGGCACAGGGAGGGATATGGGGCCAGTGGGTTGTGGGCTGAGCTGCCTCTGACCAGGGAAGAAACGTGATTTAACACATTTTGGAGGTGCAAGTCACTGCAATGGCCACTGTAGGAGAGAATGCCAGTTGAGGCCTCATTAACTCTGTGGAAACTATTTGAGTTACTAAGAGAGAGTCATTAAATATAGCACAGATGGATCCTTCAAAAATGACAGCCACCATCCACGTTAGAAATAGGAAATCCATTAAGTTTGCTGTTAAAATCTGGGACGAGGGAGCAAAGCGCTTCCCTCTTGACTGCCTGTCACTCAGCTCTGCGCCGGGCCGCCCTCTGCCACCCCAGGGGCTTCTAATGGCGGCCCCAGAGAGAGCTGGGAGCTTTTAAAAGTTTCCTTCGTTTTCACAGGTTATATTTGAGGATGAAAAGTTATGAAATAGCACTGCAAATCTTACTTTGCACTATCACGGAACAGAAGGGCTGTGGGCTACAGACACCCCTGGGGCTGGATGATGGCGG